ATATATATATATATAAAAAAAAAAAAAAAAATATATATAATATATATATATATATATATATATATATATATATATATATATATATCATGTGAATGCAGTACATTGCCATACATAATTAAAGTAATAATGATGGCAGACAATCTTTCTCTATTCTAAAGAGCAGCTCTCATCTATCCAACTTGCAAACTGTTATTCTCTTCATATTATAATTTGTATACGGTCCCCTGAATCCTCCTAAAATTACTTCACTTAACGTGTCCTTTTTTTTGTTCCCACAGAAAAGTAAGAACTTGTTCTGAAGGCTCTTGCTTCCAGGTAATGTCTAATACAAAATTGTGTACTGTACATTGTCATTTAGCTGTTGTATTGTCAGTGATACTGCCAATTCCTGTGTCTTGTGATACAGGTTTAAAATATAACATAACATTGAGCTCAAATCTTAAATTTCCACAGTAGTGCATGCAATACAAAATGTGTAATTCCAGCACCCTGACCATGATTGCTCATATTGTTATTAAACCAGAAAATAGCTGTATTTATTCTCTGTCATTTCTACTTATATATTTATCATATTCTCTTTTCCATCTATTCTGCCTTCCTTTCTTTTCTCCCTGCGCAGTGGAAACCACTAGCATACAAGAGGCTGACCAGTCATGTGCCATCATGCTAAAATCAATGCCATCTCTCTCTCTTGGACATGGAGAGGGGGACCATCTCATCTCTTTGTCATCATTGTCTGCCCATCCGCTCTTGGCTCAGCTGGGCAATGAGCCGGGCTGTCTGTTCGTCTGTTGTCCACCGGATGTTGCATGTCCATGGAGAGAATGCTCCTTCTTCTCTCTCCTCTTACAGTACCTGATATATTTCCAGTATTCTCAGAAAGGAGGCACTGCTGGACTTGTATGGACACTGACAGACTGGCGAGATGAAAAATGTAAAATCCGGTTCTTTCCATTGTAACTGCTGGATCGGAGCCCCCTCTCTCACTTCCAGCTGAAACAAATGATGTCAGAGAGAAAAAAAAAAGAAAAAAACACATAGAAAAAATATATAAAATGACAACTTAAACTGATACATCTAACCAGTGTCATCGCATTACATGATCTGAGGTCACAGATACTTTGTCATGCTATGGGAAGTGTTGTGCAGAATGAATATACAATATATATATATATACATATATATTATGATTATTATTATGATTATTTATTGTGCATTTATTTTGCTTTGCATTATTTAATTTCACTACAATAATTAGCACATATGGTTTTCATTGCACTTGTAAAGTCACATTCAAAATTATGAAAAAGCTGTCTCCTGTCTTATGTAGAACATAATTCTTTGTTATTCTCTCCTGCATTTATTTTTATACCATATTTAAAGACACTTTTACTTACTTGTATTATTAAAGTTGGCCCTCTATCTGTTACTATGGCCTGGGGTTGGATGTTCTTTTTTACTGTTTGAACACACAAAGTGCCAGCAACACAGCATTGTAACATTCATTCTGCATGGGTTAAAAGAATTCAAGAACAGTACTTGAACAATGCACTTTTGATTTCTACCACTAGATGGTGTTCAATTATTTCCTACTGTAGGGATCTGCCTTGTGTTAACAAACAGCTCCTCCTCAGCACAGATCAGCAAAATGCACCACAATACTCTGCAGACAAATGATGTTTTGTCATGCAAAAGTGTCATCATCTTCTGCTGAAGGGGTTATTGTTCAAACTATACCCGTCTGAGGTTTTGAAGAGTCTGTTGATGTTTCAGCTCTTTGATGGCAGAAGTGACAGTCACTGTTTTCAGTCTCTGTACCCAGTGGTCAGCTTAGCAAGAGCCACAAAACAGACAAACATTATTGTCTCAGTTGCATCAAGGAATGTGAATTGTTTTCAAAGCGTCCGGTTAGTGTGTCTGCGTACAATACGTAAAATGATTTATGGATGGGGGATTATGGGTTGTAATGTGATGTGGTCACAGTGCCAATGAGAGAGGGTAATTTAGGGGTTTTGTAGGAGATCATTGTTTCTTCACAATTTTTGTCCTTTATTGTCCATGGTGGCAAAATGTCATCCATTTCCTTAAAATGAAAATGCAAATATCAAACACAGGGGAAGAGGGAGAGAAAACTACAATGGAAAAAAGAAGACAAAAGAAACACTGTCATTTCCATTGGTTTGATATATCATGGAAGAGTGGGCATTACAAAAAAGGTATCAAAGAAAAATATTAACAGGAAGAGAGAGACAGAAACAGGGAGACTTAAAAATGAAAGAAGTGAAGCTTGGTTTGATTCACACAATGACCAGAGCCAATAGGATAAACCCTCCCAGTCTTGAGGAGGGAAGGGGGTGGTGGGGATTCAAACTAAGGCAGGCTTTACAGTGAGTCAAACACTCTCAAAGACAGACTACAGACAGTCTCTGCAGCACTAAGATATGGGCTTACTGTGACTGAAACGTGGAGCTTCTCTCTCAAACCTAAAAACAAAAAAAGACTAAAAAGAGAAAGTTAGATATAGAGAGGAACTAAGAAAGACATACAACTTGTCCAGGAAGATGGAAGACTGACCGTGTCCAAGACCTGGACTTTTTAGTGGTGGGGAAAAAAGAGGAGCAAGGACAAGCCTGAGGATACTACAGATTATGTTGCCATGGAAACCAAAACCTGGAAGCGGACGCAAGGACCACTGAAGGTGGACAACTTCCCTTGACTGCATCTTTGACACGTTACTGTCCCGCTGCACACTGTGGTGAGAGGTACATAAACATAAACTTTTTGCTTCACTGCGATAACACCTATTTAACACTTTATTTAAGAGACAAGGACACCTTTTAACAGTTTTAACAATTTCAAGAACTTTCTATGGATGTTTTATAAAATGTTAACTATGATAACAAATAATATGCACTAACTGAAAATCAATGCAATTTCATTCAAGAATGTTAACATGTGGACATATAACTTACTCAACTGCATTGGCTACATTTTCATTTTTAAATAACAGGATTTCAGAATACAATGATAAATGCTTTGAATATAAACATTCTTTGCAACACATGTGATTATATATGTGGAAGTAGCATGTACCAATTTGATTTACTGAGAAAAGTGAAGATAAGAGGGCTGGCTTGACATATCCCACGTGAGTGCTTCGAAGAAGTGGGTAGTAAGAGGCTGAGATAGTGAGACGGAGTGACTCAGTGAGTCTTTGAATGACTAAGAGCAGAACCATGTAATTCAACCAGCAGTAGTTTTATAGCTATTTAGTATTTCTGCCAGCAGTGGGGGTTTGATTCCCACTGGGGCCACCCATAGTAAAAATATATACCTTCAAGCTACTGTAAGGTGTTCTGGATAAAAGTGTTGACTAAATTACTATAATTAGTGGCTGGAGGTTCCAGGGAATTAGTGTTGTGAGTGAGAGAATTAGTGAGTGATGACAGTGTGTTGTACTGTGCATCTCAGTGAGATTAAGAGTCAGTTTAGTTTTTCCGCTGAATATAAAAAAGACAGAAAGAGATAATGGTATTAATGTACACAGTGAATCTGTATTCTGTGCGCACAAAATCATTATTTTTATATCTGTCCATATATGGGTGTATATCCTTGTGTGTGTGTTCACTTTCATATCGTAAATGTATTTGTGTGTAGTCATGTGTATACTGACGTGTATCCAAGTCGGTGTGTGAACATATGTGTGTGTGTGTGTGTGTGTGTGTGTGTGTTCCTACAGTATGCGTGCAGTGAATGGTAGGGAGTTTGCCTTCTGATCCTTCTTACAGCTCTGGTGACTGCACTACCTTGTACAGTCCGCTCTGATGTCAAAGAGGATTTAGCACACAGACACATTACAGTTTCTTTAGTAACAGAAAACACTTCATTGTAAGCCTTTAAAGATAGTATAACTGGTGTTTGAAAGAAGCCTTAACAGCATTCTTAACACGTGAAGTTTACACATGAACAGGTATTAAGTAAACACTGAGTAAAGCAGATTAAAATGGTGGAGTAATGCTATGTCTTGGCCAATTGTGGCAAATTGTTCTGTTAAAATGAGGCATTTTCTGAAAACAAGAGAACCTTTGCCTTGCTTGTTAGCAAAATATGGCTGAAAAGAACTACTTTCAAACCCCCTGAACACACAGTGGCCTGCCTGTGTGCCAGTCATTGCAAGCTCATGCTGTGCAGCCAACCATTGTTCAAACCCACAGAACTTTATTTCAAATTTTAGTGGCAAGCTTTTGTTTCCAAAAAAACAAATATACCTAAAATTATGCGATTTGGTGAAATGGTAAAGCCTTGTAAAACACAAAGTCCTGGGCTTGGGCTTCAATAAAGATCTGGAACAAGCTGATACAGAATATAAATATTAAACATTCAGACAGTATGAAATAAGCAACTTTAATGGTACTTAAAGGAAAGACTGTATGTTAAGACATTAAACAAACAAATTCCACTGTGCAAGTGCAAATGGAAGGTGGTGTTAATTACTGCAGCTAAGTAGTGCCATCGTGATCTAAAATGAGAAATGCTGTACTATCATAGCATCTCTAATTGCCCCTCATCCTCCACTAAAGCACTTAATGTTGCAAAGAGTTGACTTACATTCTTGCCAGTACTTAGCTTGGAAAACATTATATATGGGCTGCTAGTCATTATCAAGATGGATTGTGGTGACAAATGGCTGCCCAAACTGCCTAAAGCAGCCTCCTGGCAATGTTGGCATTAGACACATTTACACACAGAAAAGCCCCCAAAAGGACCCCCCCTCCCCTGACAACTGTTAATGAGCCAACAGCCCAGCGTAGTTTGGGAAAATAGAATCCACAAATGCAGATAATGACATGGTTCCTCTTTGTGTAATTGGCTCCAAGTGAAAACATTTCATTTACCTCTCTTTCCCTCTCTCTTTATATCCTGTGTATGTGTGTTTGAGTCTGTTTGTGCGTATGTGTGGTCACGTATGTGTGTGTGCAAGTGTGTGTGTGTGTATGCAGCTACCCTTGTGTGATTGAGGTTTGAGCTGCACGGTGAATTAAATGCAGTTCTACTGTAATTAACTGCACTTACCAGTCTGTGTGTGAGACTTTCTGACGCACCAATAATTGAGGCATCAGGTTTTGTTTGTTTTAACCTGCCTTTGAAGACATGCTGGGAAGATGTTTCACATGGTTTAATAGAAGTGCAACTGTGAGTACAAATTTGAAAGTCTTGTTTCTTTTTTCAATTATTTCACAAGTGAGTATCTGAAATATTAAGATACCTAAGAGCCAGACTGGATGTTTATGGCTAATTATGTTTTTCATTTTACTTTGAAATTTGAAAAAAAGACCCATTGTTATCCGGACAGAAAACATTACCATGGCATTATAATGCCATTTTGAAAAACAAAACATAACAAGTTCCCACTGATGATAATAGTTGTTTTTAAAAAGGCTTGTGTCTAGCTCAGCAGTCTCTCTGGTATTTGTTTCTGGTATTTGTAATTTCATTAGAGGTCTGAATTTTGGAACCAAGGTCTGCCACAGTTCAGTGAAGCATATCCCCCAAGTATTTGTGGTTCTTGTAAAACATAAAGCTGTGTTTGTGGACAATATTAGTGTTTAGCAGACAGAGAAGTCCGGTTCAGTTCTGTCTCAGCATTAACACAGAAAACCACAGTCTCCTTCCGTCTCCGGGACTCTGTGATGATTAGTACTGTGCGTCAAGGAGAGACAGACAGGGTGACAGAGAAAGACAGATGGGGAGAAAAAGAAGTAAAGAGACAGCTTTTGGACAGATATACAGTTGTGAGAGGAGGGCATACACTGCACATGAAGCCCAAGTGGTGTTGGTTTTGTTTCCCAGTAGGTCAACTCCACCATCTCTTCAGCCCCTCTCCTTCCATCTCTTAACCCAAGCCACTAATCGCCCACCCATCTACCTCAGCGTTCCCCCCAAAGCCCCTGATCCCTGCCCCAAAACCGCAATTTGTCCTGCAGCAGAGATTGATGAGGATAGCTTGGCAGGCCCGGCACTATCATACTTAGGCAGAGTTTTGGAGTAGAGAGGGAGTGCGGCTGCTGACTGTACAGGCCATCCGTCATGCCCTATGTACACAGTCAGTCAGGTCATCCCTCAAAAGTCCCCGGGGCTTTGCAGACTGCAGCTCACCGGAGTCACAGGGTGCCTCTTTGAGCGACAAATAGCGGGAGAACATGGAGACAGAGAACAAGGGACTGCACACAGAAACAGAGCCTGTTCTTCTTACCAGGGGTTCATACATTTAAATATACAGTCAGCAGGAATGAGACAGAGCAGCTAAAGACAAATGAGATGTTGTTGTACATGGAAGGTAGATCACTAGAAGATAGAGTGGGGTCATGACTCCCTGATGCAGTAGGTGGTGGAAGGACCCAGCGGCAGTCTTTGGTTTAGTTATTCTAACCTTATGATGGGTGTGTGTAGGCGTGTGCTGGCTTGTGTGTGTGTGTATGCAGAAATGTGTGCCCCCAGAAGAAGAACAGATCCGAGAAATTCCTGTCCTGTTAAGGATATTTGAGGAGTTATGTTTGACAGAAATATAAATTAAAAAAGAGTCTTCCTATGATGCGCTCATTGAAAATTGATTTCAAAATGCATTTGTCTTCTGGACATCCACAGATGAAAAATACCAAATATCAAACAGACTTGATTACAATTTTAGAGCAATTAAATCGGATTTCTTGGCTAAATGTACACAAAATACTTTTTTCCTCCACAGGTTTGATCTCTTAATGAAGAAAACGAAAGCACAAAAACAGATTCAAGAGATCATATTTCTGCAAGAAAGTGTTAAAAAGTAAAACAGATCTTCTGCGTCTATGTAACTGCAACATATCTCTTGATATATAGAAAAAGTCTTCTTGATGGACAAACAGCTGCTGTCTAGCTTACTGAATGTGCTGCCGAGATAGTGATATACAGACTTGAGTGCTCGTGCAGCTCGGACAGAGCTGCCATGACCTCAGGGTCAAGGGCAGAAAAAAGGAGGCAAAAAACAGAGTGGATTATGATAAAGTAATTTGTTCCACGTCAGAGTGAGTTGCCGGTCCAGGAAAGGAAGAAAGGGAACATACAAATTTGCACAGCAAAGAAGAGTCTGTGAATAGGAGCGGCCAATGGCCTTGAGGCAGTTTGGTTCTCTGTCAGAATTTCTGACTTGATGTCAGGCAATGCTTGTCAAAAGCAACATCTGCTGAAAAGATGCTTGAGTGATGGTCAAAAATGTGCTGGCGCAAATACTGACAGCATGCACACAGGCGGATACTCCATCCTGAATAGGAGAGAAATAATTTCTCTAGATCATAGTATCGTTCTGTTGTTAGCATGATACAGAAGACACTATGGTTATTAAAGACACTATGGGTCATTCTCAGTTCAGTTTGCTCAATAGTATATCACCAAAGAGTGGAGGAGAGGACTCCCAAAGGGTACTGTAGAGTTCCCCAACTCTTCCCCTAATAACATGCAGATGGGCCTCTCTAATGCCTGTTTACATATCTGCGGCATAGTTCATGACTAAAGTAAGCAAAGCCCTAATTATTTTACCCGGCGACGGGACCAATAAAATCAACTTCCCCTTCTCATTATGGGTGTTTAAGTGTATCCTTTGATGGCAGGGCTTTGTTTATTTTTGGAAGAGTTGCGTAGCCGAGAGGAAAGCAAATAGAAGTAATGACACAGAGATGCTGACAAATGGGGGCCCTGGTGATGGATTCATTTCCTCAGTGATGCCTGGAAGGTTACACTGCGAAGGTGGTTCGACATGAATACACATTCACACAATTGCAAACACTATTGGCAATACCAATACCACGTTAGCAATTGTATGACTGGCATGTATCATTAGCAACTGCCTGAATTCGTGTTAACACCAGCTTCAGTGTTTATTTTTTTGTATTCTTCAGAAACCATCTTTTCTGCATAGAAATGTAATGAATGTATAATGTGTGTCTCTCTTTTTGCAGAATGCTGTGGAGAATAACTATCCCAGTCATACTGGCTGGGGTGCTCTGCATCACAGCAGAGACCAAAAAGCCCCGGCCCCAGGGATCCATCCCATCCCCACACAAGACCAAAGGGAACCTGTCTTCAGAACGTCACCACCGGCTATTGCAGCAGAAACCAGAGGTTCTATCCTCAAGTAGGGAGGCCTTGGTAGTCACAGAGCGCCGCTACCTCCGCAGAGACTGGTGCAAGACCCAACCCCTTCGTCAGACAATCAGTGAGGAGGGCTGTCGCAGCCGCACTGTGGTAAACCGTTTTTGCTATGGCCAGTGTAACTCCTTCTACATCCCCCGCCATATGGGCCCCAGCTCAGGTCAGGGCCAGAGTCGAGGCCAAGCCTCAGGTTCTGGAAGGAAAAGCCACAACAAGGCCCAGGAGCCATTCCAGTCGTGCTCCTTCTGCAGGCCACACCGCATAACACAGCTCACGGTGCAGCTGGACTGCCCAGACCTACAGCCACCTTTCAGACACCGTAAGGTGCAGAGGGTCAAACAGTGTCGCTGCATGTCTGTGGATGTGAGCAACCATGGGAAACTGTGAAGAAGGACTTTAAAGGTATTTTAAGTGACATCGTATGAGTATTGTCAAAGGCAGATATTGACAAACGTTGCCAAACAAGGACTGGCTTCAAGCTGAACTATTCTGCATCGAGTTGTACAAATAATAACTTGTCCCATAATAAAATGACAAGAAACATGGAACAAAGGCTCAACATTGATTTAATGAGAGACTAGCAGCCATGTTGGCAAGCTGATGCTGCTGAAAGAGACTGATTCAAGTGGTTGTGCAAGAGACACTGATGATTAAGCAGCCAATATTCAACATTAAACAAGTTTTTCATCCCTGTTATTTCAAAATGTTCATATCCACCATATGCCACAAGACACCTTTGTGATAAAGGAGTTAAGGAAGTGCCTCTGAGTTTTATAACTTAAAATTATGAACACTGCTGATAATTGAGTGTCTTTAAGAAACTAAACTGTAGAAATAGTGATCCCTTTAAAAGGTTTCTGTAATATGATATGTTTTTGTGCAGGTGGATCTACAGTAATTACACAGTTTGCCAGCAATGATTTTAGGTGTAGGAGATGTTGATGGTGTTTTAAATGTGTTTTGTCTGTTATTTTGTACCTTTACTTAATGTCGTTGATGTCCCAAACCATACACAAGTTGATTTCAAGGAACATGAAGCAACACAGCAATGAACAGTGGCATCCACCTGCTTGGACACAGGCATGGGCTGTATACTGTACATTTGCTACAAATATACTAGCCAGTAGAAAAAAACAACTGCAGCATGTGTAATGGAGGTGCAATGCAATATATACAGTATATATATTTTATGTATGTATGTGTGTATGTATGTGAAAAGTATATTAAATCTATTTCATATAAAAACAGTGTTGTTTGGAGTGCATGTATTTCTGTACAACTTAATATCACAGTTGGACAAATGATAAACAGAAAACAAGCAGCACCAGCAGAACTTTACTTTAAAAATGTATGTAATTTCTTTTATTTAATAAATATATTTTGTCAAGGTCAGGAGTATTTAATCAAAGCGTATTGTCGGTATTGAACATGAACGTCACATCACAAGATCATATTGCTCCATTAGCATAAGGAGTTCACACACTCACACGTAGTAGGAAAGGCATACTGCATAGGATTCTGCTTAAAACATAGAGCAAATGGACAATACAGCTTAATAAAGCCATAGAAGACCTATATCAGATCACACCACTCAGGTATGAATGGCCTTTTTGGATGAAAAAACATTAAACTGCAATAGAGACATACTGTATGTAAAACATATGTATAACTACCACTAGGTTCTGAGACAAGATAGATGACACTATTAAGAAAAGCAAATCTCATATTTTAGCCCAGGTAAAACAGATTTTTCTTCTTTACATATAACATTTACTTACAGATGATATGTCTCAGAAATAAACTGTTCTACAGCAGTCACTAACCTACACTGTGCAATAAGGCACTTTCTGTCTGGCAGGTGATCCATACCTTCCATGTAGAAATGTTATAAAATTCTGTGCTTTTCACCAGTAAGGAAGATATAAAGAGGAAGTGCTGATGCCTTCCTGGTAAACTAGGCTTGGGAATTGCACAAAAAAATAAATCAAAAATAGGCTACATATGTCTTATAAAATACTGAAAAGGCTTAGATATAGTGTTGCTACAAATTTCAGACTCCAGTGAGCATTTTCTGGCAAATGGCTCATCTACATTTAATCATCTCAGCTCGAGGACGTCTTTTGGTAGAAATCTTTCATTTAATTATGTGAGTGCTATCAAAGGGTGGCTGGGAATGTCAATTTTTCATTCCACATTTAAATATAATGTCCACATAATATCCACTTTGAACCAACTCACATATACAACAGGTCTAAATCAATTGAAAACAAATACTGGAATCAAATAAATGTTGTAAAAATGACTGATGAGTCATTGTCAGATTGTACAAACAGTGCTTGTGCAATAGGCTTTGTGATGATAATTTTCCATTCTCAGCTTCAGATCTTCTGACCCAGCTTTGCTTTCTGTGGAATACAAAATGCTTTGAGTTATTTACAGCTGGCAGCACTGGCACTCGATTTGTTACTGTATGAGCCAGGAGTGTTGTTTCTTCAACACCCTGACAAGTGTGTGTATGGAACAAGTTGTAACAATTTAAAAGGACACATGAGACCATACAGAAACTGTGACAAGAGGTGTAAAGACGTACTATTCCAGTTGCATGTTTGGGTTTCACGTTGTAGGAAGCCTTCTCCCTGGCCTGTTTGAAGCTCTCTTCAGCCATTTTGACCCTGAAAATAGACAATAACCATCAGTCATCCTATGGAGACACTCATTCACACTGCTGAAATTCACTATTTCACTATAAAAAAAAGAAAGACGTAGAACAAAAGCTCCTGCTTGGACCATCCAGACTATGGTCATGTGGTATTTGAACACAATGATCCCAGTCTGTCAAAGCACCAGTCCTCCTACTTGAAATGACTCACTCTAGTGTACTACTGCATGGAGAGAGCCAGCAGTGTCAAAACTAATTTGTGCTCTAAAAAGACAAACAATCAGCACTTTTGCATTGAGTGAGTAGAACAATTTACACCAACAGACATGCATCTTGCCTCTACTCATCACATGGGTATTGTGTGTCCTAGTGCTGCATGTTTGTATGTCTATACAGTGCAGGTGAGGATTCATATCTATTTCTATATCTATATTTACTGGAGTCTAAAACGAAAACCAGCAGAGAGAGAATTGGGATGATTGCCGATGGCAAAGGGCAAAGAGTTAATGCTTTCAAATTTGTTTTTATTCTTTCCTACTGAATAAGCAAAGCTTGTGACATTTTGCCTCTCTTACAAATACATATCACAATTCAATCTTCATTTAGCATAATGGACCAATTTGCTTTTTGTTGACATATGCAACAGTATCTTTATATTCATCAAACCACTGGAAGCTAACTGGATGCTGCATGTGTTCTTTTCATTACTGGGGTGAGGACACAGATTTGGGTCATTTAACCTCTTTTCCCTTCATGAATTTGAATGAATCTGATAGGATCTTCAGTGAACACGAGATGTACTGCAAGTTATTAATGGTTTGGGAACTTACGCTTGGGGAAAATTCTACCTAGTACCTAGTGTACCTGTAATGACATTTTAAAGGTCAGAAAGTGCTGTTCCCTTCCCAAGAAAAAAACAGAAAAAATTAATAAATGGTCCAGTGTGTAACATTTAGGATGATCTATTGGCAGAAATGTAA